GTTTGTTCTAGATATTGGCATGCGCAGACGACATCCTGATGGAAGATATTCATAATCGTGAAATATGATATGAGAGCTGTTATTTACAATTTTCTGCACTTTTTTGACAATTTGCTGCTCATAATGTAGGCCGATAGATGTTACTGAATCTGTGCCTATGTTTTGCGTGCTGTGATAACAATTTTGTTGAGTTTAGTTTTGTTTTGAACAGACAGGTTACCAAACCAACACAGTAGGTTAAAAGTTACATCTGTCTTTTCGTTGTAAAGCTTGTTCATTATATAGTCTGGCAGAAAACATTTCGTGACGGTATTTGGTCACTTTACTCACACACTACAAGAACAATCGTTTTCTAATTTGGCATGATGCATTTTATTTGTTCTACCATTGTGAGGTGAGGTGAGGTGAAATTGGGTTTAACGTCGTGCTGGAGAATATTTCGCTCATATGACGACGTGCATGCGTGTTTATTCTGTATGTGCGGCTGCTTGTACTAGCCCAGACTTAAGCTGGTTTTATAGTGCTAGCCCACTGAGATACCATGCCGCAGTGAAGCATGAATACCCCACTCAGACACATTATACTGACTCTGAGCAAACCAGTCCTTGTTGTACCCATTAATGCCAAGCGCCAGGCAGGGACCAACAAGTACCCTATTTTAACGTCTTTTGGTATGACGCGGTCGGGGATCGAACCCGCGACCTTCCGCTCTCCGGGCCGACGCTCTAACCACTACACCACGGAGGCGGTCTTCTACCATTGTGAATTTGTAATTTCATGAATTATGATTTAATAATAAAAAAGTTGTCTAACAAACTAACATTAAAATATTGACACAGTTCACTATTTGTTACGAGGGAGGAGTGCAGAGAGAGGAACAATGTATGATGATATCTTCATAGTTATCCACCCGGGTTCGATTCCCCACATAGGTACAATATGTGAAACCCATTTCTGGTGTCCCCGCCGTGATATTGCTGGAATATTGCTAAAAGCGGCGTAAAACCATACTCACTCACTCACTCATAGTTATCCTCCTTTTTTTCACATCTGTAACACCGATATCGCATTTTGCTATCAAAGAACATGTTCTGATGATGATAAACAGTTGAACTTAACCTCATCAGTATACTTAAATCAATCAAATATCTCATAACAATCCGTATCAAAATGTGCTCGCTCAGTAACAACCCGGAAATTGTGATGTAGCCAAAATGCACCCCTCTCTCAGAAAACATGTATTTACGCATTAACCAGTGACAGAGAGATTTATTTGCATATGAGGCCATACGACCCACAGTACAATATAGTACATGATATAGTTGTTGAGTTACCAGATGTGTACATAGTATGGATCGAAGAAACGAGTTTGTTAACAAAGTTTCGCAGAATAACCGTATTTCAAATATTTCACAGAGTTGTTAATGATATTAATATCTGAGGATGTACAGGGACTTTGAAGGGAGACGTAATGCCCACTTGATGCCTTTGGACATATTTGCATATAGGACCATACGACCTACAGTACATTGTTAGTAATTCCAGTAATAATCACATCAGCAACGGCGCGTATTACAGGGTGTGCCTACCGTGATATTGCTGAAATGTTGCTAAAAGCGGCATGGAATTAAACTAAATTCACTGATCCATTTACACAATCCTTATAAAGCAATTCATTTACAGGTAGGTATATGTGTGTGCGTGCGTGCGTGCGTGTGCGTACGTGCGTCCGTCCGTGCGTGCGTGCGCGTGCGTGCGTGTGTGTGTTTGTGAACGATTACCAACTTATAGATAATTCCTGATGTCCCCCGCTAAACTCACTCACCCACTGACTTGGTTGACACATATCATCGTATCCCATTTGCGTAGATGGATGCTCATGCCGTTGATCACTGGATTGTCTGGTCCAGATTCGATTATCTCCAGATCGCCGCCATATAGCTGGAATATTGCTGAGTGTGGCGTTAAACAACATACAAACAAACAAGTGGATATTATGAAAACTGATGAGGTACAACTGATTAAAGTATTGCTTAATCTTTAAAGGGAGACCACTCTATCTGCGAATTCCTCACACTTTTTCCTTAAGTGTCTGTCAATCTAAATATATTTCTCATTCAGTCAAGTCAATACCCACGACTACATGTTATTTACCCTACCGTGAGCCCACCCCAGTAATAGACATGTATATATCACCTGTCACCTAGCCAATGACATTACAGGTGCTATATAAATGGTAATATCACAGCGCCATAACTCATGTCAATATCATGTATATTTCACGTGTATTTTGTATCACAGACCTAGCCAGGCTGCGTTTGATGTTGAACTGTAACTATCTTAACAAACTACTCAATGTCAGTGTCGAGACAGCGACTTAGGTACAGTTTAGTAGACGGATACTAGACTCGGAAGTAGACTGATAAAACGGTTGATATTTACTCGATTAGCACCCTTACATGTACGAGTATGTTTTAGATAATGGTGTTTGATCTTTGAGTGTTACAGTCAATGAGTGTTTGATTGTACACGTGTCAACCGATAAAACTTCGAGATACAGTAAACAAGTTCGTTGTTCGACTAAACTATGTAGCACAGGGACAAATCGATATACCTGTCAGTTCTTCATAAGCGCGTTTATAAGTTAAAACGCAGTAAGCTGTATCAACAATTTAAAACGCCTAACTCGTGTTTCAATAAATGTAAAGGAACGAGTGTTTACTGACACATCTGTACCGACAATATCTAGTTGGCAATGAATGCGACAATGGGGATATTACTGAGACACACAGCACAATGCGATAAAATCTCTGCGACCGATGACTGAGAAAACAGATCAACGTCTAAGCAACACTGTCCGATTATGAGAGAAACACACCCCCTCTCTCTCTCTCTCTCTCTCTCTCTCTCTCTCTCTCTCTCTCTCTCTCTCTCTCTCTCTCTCTCTCTCTCTCTCTCTCTCTCTCTCTCTCTCTCTCTCTCTCTCTCTCTCTCGATCTCTCTCTAGAACACACACTCAACACACTATTCTCAAGACACTCTGTACAACCGACCAATCATCGAACCTCAGGTTAGGTCATTTTGTCCATCAATAATTCATTCATGACTGGAACAAGCTCGTAGTGCTTAAGAAATATAAATTTAATGCAGACAAAACCAACCTTCAGAAAAATTGTTTGTGTCCGATTATGAGAAAACACGATCGATTGCTTGGTTGTTCAGCCACTGCGACGCACGCACCACTCACACACTCACGCACACACACTTACAAAAACATACGTAACTCTCATATATATAAAGAGCAACAAAAATGCCTTTCATTTTATTTAGAAATCGCCAGGACCCGGAACTAAAATATACCAAGTATAGGAAGTAAACACCCCCAAAAGGAGTTAAAGAAAACAAGATATTTTCAAATAATTACAATCAGTCTGTCATGGATGGTGAGTATTGCAACATTGGGCCATCCAGTCGTGGGTATTCCTTAACGTGTTTTGAGTAGCATATAGTATCAAATAATGAATCTGCTCTGCACTTACAGGGAAACTGTATGTGTCATACAAACCTGTTTCCCCTCAAACAGAGACACGAAGTTTTCATAATGAATCATCATTCCTGAAACACGGCGTAACTGATGAAACTGGATTGTTTCATAGGAAATCATGATCACAAAAATGCAGCTGTTTCCTGTTAAAGTTTGTTACATGCACAACAATCCTCTGCTAGTAACTGAAGCAGCCTGCTGTTGTAAACGTTCGCTCGTCACACCAAGCACCCGGGTTTGATTCCAGACATGGTGCAATATGTCACTCGGTCGGTCGGTCGGTGTCGGTCACTCACTCACTCACGTTCACTCGTCACACCAAGCACTCCGGGTTTGATTCCAGACATGGTGCAATATCACTCACTCACTCACTCACTCACTCACTCACTCACTCACTCACTCACTAACAAACTCACACGAAACTGAACTGGCTGGTAATTACGTATTTAATGGAAAGAGCTGATTGGTGTCGATTGGGTGGTTAAAATGGCTGATCTATCTGATAGTAGCTGCGAGATACTTTGCGTCTTCATCTTTAACACTGCATGTAATTTAATACCTCTAATAATTCAGAATCGATTTATTTATTTTTCAAATCCAACACTGGCAAAGAAATACCACATTTAACTATAGTACGTCTGTCTCCAAATGAGAAGGACAAACTCAAAAATGGGGAATAGTCAAGTAAATATCAATATTGCACGATTTACGGAACTATTATTACAAATAAACAATGGCGACATGCCGTGTGTTATAGATAGGGTTGGGCCATGGGAAATGTTATTACAGCTCAGGAACTATGCGACAAACAAATAAATAACCTCTAGTCTTTAACACGAATGAAAAATCCCACTCCTCCCCAGAGTTCCTTGCGGCCGGCCTAATACCTACGCCAAAGAAGCCTCCATGTCACTATTCCCAATCAGTCATATTACACCGTCAATTTAAAATATTATACTGTTATGTATTTTTCCAATCTACGCATATATATAGACGAATGCCATATATAGTGTTAACCTTTATTGAGGAAATATCCAAAAACTTAAAAACATCTTCAGTTATCCTTTGTCTATACAGGTTTTACGCCTATAGTATTGCTGTAAAAATCAAAGCCCTACTGAGTGAGTGAGTGAGTATGGTTTTACGCCGTTTAAGCAAATTTCCAGCAATATCACAGCGGGGGACACCAGAAATTCAGATTCTATAAATAGGCTACTTATTGTCATTCACCTGACAGTCGCAGCTAAAGTTTTATAATATTTAGTTATCAATCCCACAGAAAGGCTTGCATAACGTCAGCCTGTCATGATTTCAGAATAAGCGCGTTTGTTTACAAACAAGAGCGAAGTCCGGTCGTGTGATATGCAAATTAGCCTGTGACAGTGTCATCCCTGTGCGAATAAACCCGGGGTGTGCTGATTGTACGAACGTTTCTTTCAATATCCAAGGGTGGGTAACTCTAGTTTGTCGACCTCGCCTGCTTGCCACGCCTACGGTGTATCAAGGCCTTTCGAGAATACGATCAGCCCAAACATTCTGCAAACACAGTGACAGTCGAGGTTAGCAATAGTTACAGTTGGTGTTAGTGCTAGAAGATCGGTAATCTTATTCCGACATGCACGATCATGTTCACCGTGTACACTTCATTACATTAGTACTAAACTTCTGTCGGTTCTGAAGTTGGCTGAGGGTGAACTCTGACTAAAATAGTGCATACTCATAGAGAATTCGTTGACACTTCCAGTTCATATCCAGGATACACGGAAGCTAGTAGATGAAACAAACATAACTGGTAATGAGAATCAATATCTGTTACAACATAACATGACGTGATGCGCCAACGATATCTAATATTTTATTAGCGCTTCACATTCTGCTCCAATAAATGTTTATTTGGGATGTAGCCGAGAGCCGCGATGCTGCTATACAGACAAGAGATGACCCTGCATCCTGTATAGGACCGCATCGCGGCTATTTGGGATGGACATGTTCGACCCAATGATATTCAATAGAGCTGGGACGGGTCCAAATTTCTACCCGGGTACCCCACCCACTATTACCCTACGCTACCCGGATAGCCGTTATGTTAATTCATTACATCAAATTTGCAAGAACTGGCAATATATATTCTTCACCTCGGAGGCTAAAATTTCGAGGTTTTCATATCTAACTATGTATTATATTCAAAAGATTTTGAAACATAGCAGTCCTCAAAGAAGCCAACAATTGAAAAGCTTTCGTTGAAAGTTTTTGTCATATTTTTATGTAGAGTAGGGACAATTTGCTCCATGAGTACCAAGCTGCATTAACCAACCTACCCCTGTAAGTCTTAGACTTGTATAGAAAATGTCTAACATGGGATTATTTTACCATAGGTTTGTCAAAAACTATTGATACACACATGTAAAATATTCTGGTAGTGGACTGAAGTTTTTATTCAACACAAACATATAAAGTCAGAATCGTGCATAGTCAAACTAAATAAAAACTAGCAACCTACTATGTAACGATTGTCTATCAGTGGGGGCGGTGAGGTAGCCTAATGGTACTTAGCGTTCGCTCGTCACGCCAAAGACCTAGATTCGATTCCCCAGATGGGTACAATCTGTGAAACCATTTCTGGCGTCCCCCACCATGATATTGCTTGAATATTGCTACAAGCAGCTTAAAACCCAACTCACTCAGTCTGATTCTTTATTTATAAACTGTAAGCCAGAGGTCCGTAGTACAAGTAAAAACGGTTATAATGGATGAGTGGTACAAACACGTTCGCATGTTAACAGTGCATGGTGTATAAATGTAGTAAACATTTTTGGTTGACATAAGTACACAGAATTTTAGTCTTTACAGACCCTGAAGCAAATATATCCAAGAAAGCCCACATAGTTTAGAAATTGTGGCAAGTCTAGATTTCCTCAGCTTCAAGAAATGAAGAAAGTCTCAGGGCTCCTTTTCAATATATTTTGCTTTTTATATTATGAGCATTTCTTCTGTAAAATATTTTCATTTCAGAGACTAGTTGTTAGTCTAACAGAATTTGTAAAATGTGGGACAGGATGTATACTTAGATGGGATATAATGGCTCCTTAGATCATCATACAATGGACGGATGAGAAGAACCTGATATTCATCTTAAATATTAACCATGTCACACATTTTGCAGGATTGGTTCTTAGGAGCATGATATAATTTATAAAATATACTAGATGACTATAACCACAATGAAACTGCAATCATGATACTCTTAATATCCTCACATTTACAACTGTTAAATACTTTTCACAAATAAAATGTTGTTTAGCCCAAGGCCCCCAAGTCAACACGTGACCCCATGTGACCCCATGTCAGCCCAAGACCCCATGTCCACTCAAGACCCCATGTTAACTCGAGACTCCATGTCAACCCAAGACTCCATGTCAACCCACGTGACCCCATGTCAACCCAAGACTCCATGTCATGTCGAGACTCCTCAAGACTCCATGTCAGACTCCATGTCAACCCCCAAGACTCCATGTCAACCCAAGACTCCATGTCAACCCAAGACCCCATGTCAACCCAAGACCCCATGTCAGCCCAAGACCCAAGACCCCATGTCCCAAACACACATGTCAACCCAAGACGTGTCCCATGTCAACCCAAGACCCCATGTCAAGTCAGGACTCCATGTCAACTCGAGACTCCATGTCAACCCAAGACTCCATGTCAACCCACATGCCCCATGTCAACCTAACACTCCATGTCAACCCAAGACCCCATGTCAGCCCAAGACCCCATGTCCACTCAAGACCCCATGTTAACTCGAGACTCCATGTCAACCCAAGACTCCATGTCAACCCACGTGCCCCATGTCAACCCAAGACTCCATGTCAACTCGAGACTCCATGTCAACCCAAGACTCCATGTCAACCCAAGACTCCATGTCAACCCAAGACCCCATGTCAACCCAAGACCCCATGTCAGCCCAAGACAACATGTCAACCCACGTGCCCCATGTCAACCCAAGACCCCATGTCAAGTCAGGACTCCATGTCAACTCGAGACTCCATGTCAACCCAAGACTCCATGTCAACCCACATGCCCCATGTCAACCCTAACACTCCATGTCAACCCAAGAGTCTTAGACCCCATGTCAACCCAAGACCCCATGTCAACCCAAGACCCCATGTCAACCCAAGACCCCATGTCAACTCCAGACTCCATGCCAACAGGCCTAGACCACTAAGCCACCGCGGCTTCCGAAAGGATGGAAGTCGGACAACTGGTAGTCTAGACTGCGGACTTTGTGTACCCCTCTGATGAGTGTTAATTAGCACGGCTCCCATGGCCGAGAGCCGGATTCGAATCCCGCATGGGACTCAACCCCAAAAGTACTAGAATCTGTACTTTACTAAGAAAGTGTAATCCCAAATATAACATATGTTTCATTTGACCACTTTCTAAAATGGCATTGTGTATTTCATGCCTTAATTTATTCCAAGCCCCAGGGGAATCGATCAACCTTGTTATTCTTATTAATATGCATTCAACTGATTTGAATGTGCTCTTTTATTATTATGTCTATCAACCCGTGAAGATCCAGGTTAGAATTGATCTTCAGCAACCCATGCTAGTCGTAAGTGGCGACTAATGGGATCGGGTGGTCAAGCTCACTGACTTCGGTTGACACATGTCATCATATCCCAATTGTGTAGATTGATGCTCATGCTGTTGATCACTGGATTGTCTGGTCCAGACAAAGGCATAACTTTTATTCCAACTATTATTTTAGGAACCTTTCTCCCAATTTGGATCACATTATTGTCCCAGTGCCATTCTGAACAGGTTAAGATACGACCTTGGTATCCCAGCTCCATCCTGGAGAGGTCAAGAAAACACATTGGTCAGTGTTTATCATGATTCCAGTCTGACCAATCTGGGCATCTGATCCTAGTTACGATCTGGGCTGTTTGTTTGTCATCATTAATATTTTTTACTTTTATGTTTTCACTTACAGAGTTAGTGAGTGAGTTTAGTTTTACACCACTTTTCGCAATATTCCAGAAATATCATGGGCTTCACAAATTATACCCATGTGGGGAATCAAGCCCCGTTCTTCAGAATCTCAAGGAAATACTTTAACCACTAGGCTACCCCACCTCCCACTTATAGAGACCTGTAGAGACTGAACAATTCCTTCAAATTCATTTTATATTATTTTTTCACAATTTTCTGTTTGTATTTTAAATTTTGCATTTTAGTTTTTACAAACAAAAAATAAATTCTCACCTCTTGATGTCTTTCTTTAGAAATGCAGGTATCGAAGTTTAATTTCTTACCATGTTTCCATATGCCTGAATATTTTTACTAGCACTGTTAAATATGTATGCCTGAAGTAACTGATAATTTTTGTCAAATGCCAACATTAATCTTTCTGTTGGACTTTAGGTAGAAAGAAGTAAAGGTCTCAATGCCAAGCCAATATTATCAGTAGCCCATGATTTTTTAAAAGCTTATTTTTAATCTTTTGTATTGTCTGGACAATTTCTCTGAAATGCACGTGTCTCACCTTCAGATACCATAAAGCCAAAATTTCCTCTTTAAAATCTGAACAACCACAGTTTGTCTCTCAGGTTGCGCAGAACAATAAGCTCAAGTCACAGCATTTGTCTTGGGAGTCGTACTTTAGACGGCATACCTCGTTAACCTGTCTTGTTAGTTTACATTTTTCATGTACCTTTGAATGTCACTGGTGTGGATGACTTCTCCATGTTTCATTTGTGTCTGTCAGTTTGTATTGCATCCATCATCACTATTATTAGAGATTAGGGGTGTCGCCATACGTGAATGTATCGATGCATTGATACATTTTTACTGACGATACGATACACGATACATGCTTGCGTATATCGATTCCTATTGTAAAACTTTATCGATTCAAATTTTTATGCTATTACTATCTCCGTCAAAGTCTTGATAGTAAAATTATACCAGACCGCTCCGATAAATAGATGTAGCTAGCTTTACTTAAAAAATAGGTTGGAAACTAACAGCTTTTGTGATTGGCTAGACTATTTTGATGGACCAATCAGCGAGCGCGTACGTTGCCAGTAAGGTAATGCTATGAAAAGGCGCGGAAATTATGTATCACGATACGTATCGTATCGTGACCTTAAAATCGTGATACGTATCGTATCGTGAGATTGGTGTATCGTGACACCCCTATTAGAGATACAACTTAGAATTGATCTTCAACAGCCCATGCTTGTTAGAGTTGACTAATGGGATCCGAGTGGTCAGGCTCGCTGGCTTGATTGACACATGTCTCGGTTCCCAATTGAGTAGATTGATGCTCATGCTCTTGATCTCTGGATTGTCTGGTCCTGAATCGATTGTTTACAAACCTCCTCCATATATCTAAAACTAAACTCACTCACTCACTCACTCACTCACTCACTCACTCACTCACTCACTCACTCACTCACTCACTCACTCACTCACTCACTCACTCACTCACTCACTCACTCACTCACTCACTCACTTTCATTAGTATGATTACTCTCAGCATTTTAGCCTGTATACAGATCCTTTTAATAGTCAGTTGTTTGGTTTGTTGTGTAACACTGCAATCAGCAATATTCCAGCTAAATTGCAGCGGTCTGTAAATAATCGAGTCTGGACCAGACAATCTAGTGATCACCGTCATGAACATCAATCTACACAATTGGGAAATGGTAACATTTGTCAACCAAGTCAGCAAACCTGACCACCCAATCCTGTTAGTCGCCTCTTACGACAATCATGGGTTACTGAAGACCAATTCTAACCCGGACCTTCACAGGTCTCCTGCTAGTAGTAATATTCATGACCACTCTACAAAGCCATAACCTGCTCATGGCGTTATAATTCCAACCATGATTTTGAAAACCTTCACAATTTGGATCACCTTATTATCCTAGTGCCATTCTTAACAGGTGAAGATATAACTTTGGTATCAATAATTAGCTCCATCCTGGGAAGGTCAAGACAACACGTGGGTCAGTTTTCATCCTATTTCCAGTCTGAGCAGGTCAAGATAACCCTGGGCATCTGATTGTCCTGGTTCCATTCTGGGACATTTGTTTGTCATCATTTATATTTTTTTATTCTTTCCAGTAGGAATATAGACAGCGTTTACACAGAGTGTGTGGCAGAGTAAATCACAACAATAAGTCTTGTGCCTTTGTGTTGGCTATAACCGTTTTATCCATTATCTTCCATTCTTGGAAGGGTGATGGGGTAGCCTAGAGGTTAAAGGGTTCACTCTTCATGCCGAAGGCCCGGGTTTAATTCTCCACATGGGTACATTATATGTGAAGCCCATTTTTGGTGTCCCCCAGTGATATTGCTTGGTCCTGCACAAGGGAGGATGTCACTGTGGCGCTGTCAGGTTCCAGGTGTACACTCCAAGTCTGCTCCATGTTACATGTTACAGTGTGTTACATGTGTTACAGTATGAGTGGAGATGGATATTTCCTGCACAAGGGAGGATGTCACTGTGGCGCTGTCAGGTTCCAGGTGTACACTCCAAGTCTGCTCCATGTTACATGTTACAGTGTGTTCCATTTGTTATTGTATGAGTGGAGACGGATGTGTCCTGCACAAGGGAGGATGTCACTGTGGCGCTGTCAGGTTCCATGTGTACACTCCAAGTCTGCTCCATGTTACAGTGTGTTACATTTGTTACAGTATGAGTGAAGACGGGTGTGTCCTGCACAAGGGGGGATGTCACTGTGGCGCTGTCAGATTCCAGGTGTATGCTCCAAGTGTGCTCCATGTGTTTGACTGCAAGTAAGACATTTTTAATGATACTGGGATTAATATTACACAACTTTGAGGGTTTTGTTGAAAATGTGAAACCATATGTGATGGGGAAAACAGGCCTGCATTTATGGTTTTACATTTAGGGATTTTCCAATCAGAATCTCATGATGTTAATATGAAGTGAAGAAATACCAGAAAGAATGAAACACCATTGAGACACCTTGTCAGGTTTTTAATAATGCATTAACATATACTGAGTCAAAAAAGAAACTTCACATTCTTTCTTCAGGGCACTATAAAAGAACAAGAGATGGTAAGATGGTTAAATTGTTATTATTTCATTGCTGAGATCTGTGTGATGTACTCGATACACTGACAGTGCCATAATCAGTTCCATTAGGCTACACCGCCGTTCCAAAACATGGGTATACAGAATGTCAACTCACAAGAATAAAAATGCGAAATTTCTCAGTTCAGTATTGTGTATGGCCGCCCCGCGCATTCACCACTGCCAAACACCGCCTCCTCATCGACTGCCTGATGCTTGTGAACACGTGGTTGGGGATTCTGCGCCATTGCTCTTGCAAGGCAGCGCCAAATTCCTGCAAATTCTGAGGTTGGTTCCTAAGACCACGAAGCCTTCTTCCAAGTGCATTCCAAAGCGTGCTCTATTGGATTAAGGTCAGAGGACCTCGATGGCCAGTCCATGGCGTTGATTCCAGCGTTTTGAAGGAAATTTCGTGTCAACATCGCGGTATCGCGGCCGAGCATAATCATGCTGGAACTGTAGGCCTTGGCCATGAGCCGCCATGAAAGGAGCGAGTTCAGGGGTGAGCACCTGGTCGTGATAAGCAGCAGCTGTGAGGTTTCCACGGATGACCAGAAGTCGGAGCGGTTGTTCCCACAGAAAGCACCCCACACCATGCAACTTCCGCCCCGAATCTGTCGATTTCCTGTACACAACAATGGGCATACCGTTCACGGCGTCGTCACCAGACTCTATGCCTGCCGTCCAGCGAATCTGAGGGTAAACCTGGATTCATCGCTAAAGGCGATTCGATTCTAGTCTCTCTGGGTCCATCGGAGGTGGCGTTGGGCCCACAGCAGGCGTTGATGTTGATGAAGCGGCGTCAATATTGGCCCACGATATGGGCGTCGAGAATGGAGATTGGCAGCCCATAACCCGATTTTGAATGGTCTGTGAGGACAGTCGACCTCTAAACATCTCAGCCCTGGTTCGTGTAGCCAGCAGAAATATGTCGCGTAGATGGCGTGGGGCGATTTGACGGTCTTCTGCTTTCGTGGCGTCCACACGTGGACGACCGACCTTTAAGGCGATCAGAAGTGGTGCCAGTTTTGTAAATGCGTGCAGTGCGGCGGCTGCATCCCATTGCTCTTGCGGCGTCAATAACTGATCTTCCCGCTTGCAACATGCCAGCGACACGTTCACGTTGCACATTTGACAATCGTGGCATTTCAAGTACCGTTAGAACTGTGGTTTAAAAGTGTTTTTTCAATTCTTGAGGCCAATGCAAACACGTGCATATGAAGAAAACTTCGATGCGAAGATCACGTGATCGACTGCACGTGCAAAACCTGATTTGGCACTAACGTCATTTTCACGACGAATGGATGGGTTTGAGTGGGTTTTGCTAACGTTTTTCTAGAGTCGAAAGATAGGGATCCCATTTCGGATACATAGATGTATCATCAGAGAAAATTATTCATTATTTTTCAAATTACATTTTGTGAAGTTTCTTTTTTGACTCAGTATATATGAAAACACTTTTTGCCTCAAGAAAGGAGAGCATCAATCATCCAGCCATCACTCTACTTTACTGAACCAAAATATTATCTTTCATTTATTTTATGGAAAAACACCTTGGTGAACATTGTACAGGGACTGGATGAACACCTGAGGTCATGGATGAAGTATATAATTGTTAAATGTTGTTTTCTTCAGCTGCAGTGTATGCGTGAAGAAAGGTAACAGACATTTCATCGTCCCCAAGTCTAGATTCGAGCTCACCAAGGTAGGATTCTCGATATATTTGTTATATTTATTTTGAAACTGTGAAAATCCTTTGTTTTTATTCATGGGTTTCATCTGTTGAAGGCTTCAAGTATTGTATCACACTGGGCTTCCCCCCACAGACTCTGATGCTGTAGTACTATCAAAGTTATGCCACTCAGTTGGTGGAGGGGTTGGAGTAGCCCTGTTGTTAAAGCGTTTGCTTGTTGTGTGGAAGACCTGGGTTCGATTCCCACATGGGTAGAAAGTGATTTTGCTGAAATATTGCTAAAAGTGGCACAAAAATCAACTCACTCACTCAGTTGGCAAATGAGGTTGTACTAAAGTACATATAGTACTGTCGGAAATAGAAAAAAAACTTTTTTTCATTTATATCTACAATATAGGTAGTTAATATGTGAAAGTGTGAAATAGGAAACGTAAAAGAAGGATTTTACTGATCAGATATTAGTGCAGAAATGAGCAATGCATTTTTTTAGTTCTGAATAAGTCCAATGCAAGTTGTTGTCTCACAATCCACATTTTAGAAGACATGACTGACTGACTGACTGAGTTTGGTTTTACGCCGCTTTTAGCAATATTCCAGCAATATCACAGCGGGGGAAACCAGAAATGGGCTTCACACATTGTACCCATGTGGGGATTCGAACCCGGGTCTTCGGGGTGACGAGCCAACGCTTTAACCATTAGGCTACCCCACCACCCCTTGTATTACAAAGGACACTTTTTAAATGATCATTTGAAATTAGACTTAGCTTCATTATAAACGATAGCAGACGTAAAAATTAATAACTTTTATACTAAAACTATTAAGGATGTAGCTACCAATTGGCGTCTCACTATCTCTATAAAAAGAAACAAGTAGGAGGGGTTGTCTCAAAAGCAAAACCAGGGCCGGTGTCGCAGACGGTGGTTAGGGTCGGCTGGTGTACTGAGATGTTAGCTAAGATAAGATAATCAATAGAGACATATTCAATACACATGAAAAAGCATAAAATATCTTTGAGATGACCCTTTGTGCCTGTGGGCAGCACGTGCATTTCATGCCATGTGAGTTGAGGTTCGTCATCATACCTGGCTGAGCGACCTAATTGCCATCTATAGTCTGATCTATTGTTTTCAGCAGCTATTCATATTTTTTCTAAGTTTTGCCCGATTTTACGAGTAAACATGCTTTTCTGGATATCCTATTACTCATCCCTCTGAACGCCCAGTTAGGCCGAAGTGGGTTATTTCGACATATGCTATTTGCAGTTGTGTAAATTTTAGGGACACGGAGTAACAGGGTTTTTTCTATTTCCGACAGTACTTTAATGACACAGTTCATTGTCTGCCATGATTCTGACGACACAAATTTGTTATAACAGGGCTAAGATAACAAAGTTGAGATAAGAAGTTTGAGATAAAGTACAACCAGAAATTATTGAGACTTTGAAGATTGTAATTTTTAAAAAAATTTCACTCATTACTCACATATCAAATGTGAATATTAGCAGAACATAACTCCAGATTCAAAGACAGGTGAACAGTTAGTATTTTGTCAAGTCACCATGAGCAGCAATGCAGGCTTCATTGCGGCGGGGAATACTACTGATCAAAGAAGTTAGAAAGTCGTGGTCCATGCTGTCCCAAAATCGGACCACCTCTTCCTTCATTTCAGCAATGTTTGTCAGATTTTTCTTATTGACACTTTCCTTCATAAGTCTCCAAACATTTTCTATTGGATTTTGGTCAGGACTATAGCTTGGCCAATCTAATAATGTCATATTTTGGGTCCGAAACCAGGCCTGTGAATGCTTTGAACGATGTTTTGGGTCGTTGTCCTGCTGGAAAATCCAAAAATTTCCATAGAACACGTGAGCAGATGGAAGTAGTGAGTGAGTGAGTGAGTTTAGTTTTACGCCGCACTCAGAAATATTCCAGCTATATGGCGGCGGTCTGTAAATAATCAAGTCTGGACCAGACAATCGAGTGATCAACAGCATGGGCATCGATCTGCTCAATTGGGAACCGATGACATGTGTCAACTAAGTCAGCGAAACTGACCACCCGATCCTGTTAGTCGCCTCTTACGACAAGCATAGTTGCCTTTTATGGCAAGCACATGGGTTGCTGAAGACCTATTCTACCCCGGATCTTCACGGGTCGCAGATGGAAGTATTCTACCCCGGATCTTCAGGGGTCGCAGATGGAAGTAAATGTCCCTCAAGAATATCTGTGTACCGCTCACTGTTCATATTCCCTTCAAATACACAGAGGGGCGTTGCCCCTAACACAGATATACCACCCCACACGTTAAATTTCGGACTGTACTTTGGGCGCTGATACAAAGGTTTTTCACTTTGTTTGGTCCAGAATTTCAGTGTATTAGGAAACAGCCACACAGAACTTTCATCTGAGAAAATCACATTGTCCCAGTTAAAATTTCTATTCTGTAAGCACCAGTTCAACCTTCGCCTCTTTTGTTCAGGTTTCATGATCGGTGATGGAATTCCTCAACTTTTCTGCCAACCCATTGCATGCAGCTCAGTTCTAATTGTCTCCTTACAGACAGCCACAGTTCCTCTATCAATCATATCCAGCCTTAAGTTTTCTAAATTCCTTCGTTTGTTATTAGAAACAAGAATACCAAGCCGCCTCCTGTCACCGACAGTAAATTTTCTGGGCCTACCTGCACCTCCCTGGTGCTCAATGCCTTATCCATTTGCAATATTTTTCAAAACACGCTAAACAGTGGACAAAGGGATGCCTGTTTTGCTTGAAATCACTTTAGCTGATCTGATGTCCTTGTTATAATACTCCAAAATCAATCTTCCACTTCTCTAAATCATCCTTACTGAGGATCACTGACAATGTTGTCTGCTAGCAAGTAAACAAAGGGGGATAACTCTTCACAAACTCTCTTGAATGAAACCAAGCACTTGATAGCTGGTCAAGGTTGTTTATACTAGAATTCCAATTAAACATATTCCTAAAATTCTCAATAATTTTTGGTCATACTATTACAGAACAGTTATAAAGTTGATATAACAGGGCGGAGATAACACATGAAGTTACAAAGTTGGGTTAAAAAATTGAGATAAGAAGATTGAGAAAACAGGGCAGAGATAAACTTGAGGTTACAAAGTTGGGTTAAAAAGTTGATATAAGATGATTGAGAAAACAGGGCAGAGATAAACTTGAGGTTACAAAGTTGAGTAAAAAAGTTGATATAAGATGATTGAGATAACAGGGCAGAGATAAACTTGAGGTTACAAAGTTGAGTTAAAAAGTTGAGATAAGATGATTGAGATAACAGGGCAGAGATAAACTTGAGGTTACAAAGTTGAGTAAAAAAGTTGATATAAGATGATTGAGAAAACAGGGCAGAGATAAACTTGAGGTTACAAAGTTGAGTTAAAAAGTTGATATAAGATGATTGAGAAAACAGGGCAGAGATAAACTTGAGGTTACAAAGTTGGGTTAAAAAGTTGAGATAAGATGATTGAGAAAACAGGGCAGAGATAAACTTGAGGTTACAAAGTTGAGTTAAAAAGTTGATATAAGATGATTGAGAAAACAGGGCAGAGATAAACTTGAGGTTACAAAGTTGGGTTAAAAAGTTGAGATAAGATGATTGAGATAACAGGGCAGAGATAAACTTGAGGTTACAAAGTTGGGTTAAAAAGTTGAGATAAGGTGATTGAGAAAACAGGGCAGAGATAACATATGAAGTTACAAAGCTGAGATAACAAAGTTTAGGAATCAGTCCTGAGGTAATATATATAAACTTGTCAGGGTTGAGGTTGATAACAGGGATGTGATATTAAAAAATGTTGACTAACATCAAATACAGCAGTAATCCACAGTTGACTCTTTCCAACTCATTAAAACCAGGAAGAGAGAAGAATAATTGTGGACTTAAGTTTCTTTCTACCAAGGATCATCCATTGTTCTGCCAGAGACGCAAAGATTTTATCATCCATTGTTCTGCCTGTAACACAAAGATTTCATCATCCATTGTTCGGCCAGAGAGATAAAAATTGTATCTATTAATTTTTCAGGGGGAAGAAAACATAGCAACTTACACGTTCAACACCCACAAGGCCAAGCACACGTTCTGTAAGACGTGTGGTGTCCAGAGTTTCTACTCTCCCAGATCCAACCCAGATGGCTATGGTGAGCAAACAATGGCTCTATCTGTACTATATATACTGAGAGAAACAAATAAAGGAACACAGGAAAATTCAAGTGTTCCTTTAAAGAACAAATAAACTTTGGGTTTTTTTTACTCTTTGAACTCTTACATATGAAAGAGTTGTGGTTAGACTTATGCGGAACACTAAATTCGTTCTTTAAAAACTTGTGGTTAATTAATACCGAGCGATTAAAAGTTGCCAAAAAGTCGACTGCTTCACTCTCGCCCGCCAAACGAAACCACAGACAGGTTACGTAACTCTGTCGCCAGAGCACTGCAGTGACGTCATATGAGGAACGATTTTCAGTTAGTTGTATATAAAGTGTGTAGCCAGCTCATCATTTTGATGATTTCTCGACATCAACGAAGACGTGCAGGATTGTTGCGTTGTCGTCAATTGCTCCTAGGGGTCGGGCGATGGTGTCACCATGCACAGATTTCCACAGGACCCCGCAGTTCGTGCTAAATGGGTTATGTTTGTGAGTGCGAAGCGAGCGTTGTGGAAGCGTGAAACGATATCTTACTTGTGTTCAGATCGCTTCACAGAAGTTAAAGAATCAAAACTACTTACTAGTTGTAGTAAAATATGTATATGATTGATGACCATAAAGATATTCCATGACACAACTTGTAACATAACGATTTCTTCCTCGGAAGCGAGGTTGTGGTCGAAGTAACAATAATATTGTAAGGAATATTACATTGACACCCACCTCGCTTCCACGAAAGAACTTGTTATGTTATGATCCTATTGGCCATCAATCGAATACATAATTTACTACCAGTTGAAAGTAGTTTTGATTTTGTAACTCGGTGAAAACAAACCTAAATAGCATTTATCCTCACACTGGCGGGTGTTCGCGACAGGGCGCCGCCATTTTTGAAAATCGTAAAGTCACGGACTAAAGTCTGTTAGAATTAATGAGATTATGGTTTGTTTTCATCAAGTTAGAAAATCAAAACTACTTTCTACTCGTAGTTAAATATGTATTTGAATCATGACCAAAAGGATTTTGCATGACACAACTTGTAACATAACGATTTCTTCCACGGAAGCGAGGACGAGGTCGAAGTGACAATACTGCGCGATAAATTTCTTGCTACATTCACATGTTTAACGTCCACTCACCAGTATGTAGATACTAGTCAATGCACGTCTTATATGTGGTCTTATAATCCTAATTGGTTTATTATCATACTTGTATGCATTTTGAAACTAAATAAATACTTATAGTGCATTTATAACAGGACTGTAATATCTAGACAATTTATAGTTTGCCAATGTGAATCATAATTCGCACACACGCCCTAGTGTATGTTGTCTGTCTCATTACACTTCACGGCGAAAACAATTATTCTGTTGAATGCTACGATAAATGAATAAAAACAAAATGCAAATATTAAAATTAAAACAGATTAAAGTTATAGGAATAATGTCAGGCTATTACCTTGTTCGAGGAATGTATCCATCAATATCCACAAAAACGAGTGATATGCCATTCATCTGCAGCTGTTCCAAGTGATGTGTCTTTTAACAGTCTAATATACGAAAAAGTGATATATCGTTTCAGGTATTTCAAATTGGCATATAGTCTCATTGGTCACCCAAGATAGCACACCTGGCAACTAATTGCATAATGTCCGCCATTCTCTAAAAAAAGTAATTTCGTCAGCCAATAATGATCATTCAATCAATGTATTGGTGGTTAATCCTTTGAAAGAAGGACGTTTTTTACGCAGACACAGACACGACAGAGTGTTTTCAGTATAGATTAGTAAATCTACATACATAAACACTACTTTTTGACAAACCGCTGTGCAAGATAAAAGTAATTAATCAATTGGCGTGTTATCGGTTAATCCTTTGATCGATGTTTATAATGTTGAGTATTTACTCCAGACACAAGAAATGCCAAACGGGAACCTTTGTCGGGTAATCTAAGTGGTGTTACCACTAATTATACCTGTTATAAATTCATTAACTGACCATCAAGTGAATGATGACAAATAACATGTGTAGGTTTGTACCACCTAACACGGGCTACGACAAAGGAGTATTAATTGCTGTATTGCATGCAATTTTAATTGCATATGAAAACTTATGGGCCGACACCGAACAGAACTTCATTGTTGCATAAGAAATACATATAAGCATTTGCTGTGTGCTAAAACTGTATGCGTACCTATTTACCTAAGTAAATATTCAGATTCTTCTAGCAATGGCAAAGTAGGGTTGTTTAGTTTACAGATTCAAATAAATCAAATATCAATTTTTAATATCATACGTAATAGACGTCATATTTTTACATGACTTGATTACATATCAAGGTAAAAAACACAGAAATGGGATCAATTTGGATCAGTCATTATACCATCCAAGCATTAGAAAGCCTGAAAAAGCCCACACTGCTTTGATACTTTATTACAATCAGACAAGAACTACCGGGGATATTTTCAAATAACTGCATCTGATGGACATCCACCATTCTTAATGTCGCACTGTTTAGGTTGAAGAGGGGAAGAAATTAGTGGTGTCGTGATGAAGCCGAGGTTGATTCCCACATGGGCACAATGTGTTAAGCCCATTTCTGGTGTCCCCGCCGTGATATTGCTGGAATATTGCTAAAAGCGGCGTAAAACTAAACTCAGTCAGTCAGTCAGTTTAGGTTGAAGAAATTAACCGTAACCGTGATGAGCGAGGCTGATCACCAAAGCTATCACTAGCGCCTGGCTCGAACAAATAAGGCCTACATTTTGACAGAATTGTCTATGAAAACAAGTTGTAACTCGAAACTAGGCAAAGCAGGAGACAAAAATAAATGACAGTAGTGTGTGAGAACATATAGCTTTCATTTTTCACAACAGTTGTCACGATTTCAGGTTTATACAAACCTGTAAACAAGATAATTTACCCCCTGAAATGTACATGAATTCTGCGTCGGCCTTCATAGCTATTCCTCATATGACGTCACAGAGACGCGCCACTCTGATTGGTTGAAATTTCGCGGGTGAGATTTGTGCACCGTTGTCAAAAAGGTTGATTTAAGTTAATTAGAAATCGAAATGAGTATTTTTAATGACGCGGTTTCATTTATAACGATGCCAATTAGTGATTTATGTATTTGTACCCCCCTAGAGTATATGTGATCTTTAATATTTTCCAGTTTTCATCACAAGCTTTGAATAGGGCTGTCGGAGGAAATCTGAAAATAAACAAAGAAACACTGCCATGAAGTGGTGTTCCCTTATTTGTTTCCCTCAGTATATCACTATCTGTTTTGTCTATAGCATTTTAGTGTTTTGCTCATTTGCATGCCTTTTTGAAGTTCATGTATTGCGTTCATTTGGACCTTCCATTCGTCCCAAAACTTTGTCCGGAGTTAAAGTTTACATGCCAGGTTCATTAAACTTCACACACATGTTAATCATTACCCATAAATGTGTTTTTTGCTATTTTGAAGTTTGTCGGAAATTTTATTTTTTTGCTGTTTCCATGGAAACACGACTTTAGTGCAAAGTAATATTTCCATAAATTATTAATATAATCAATAAATGGCAAAACTATTATCTAGCATGTATATAAAGTTTGGTGGAGTCAAGGAAAAAGTCTTGTGAGTTGCTGATCCTTGTCACATTATATATATCAATATCAGTCATTCCATTATTCCATATCATATGTTTATCGCTGACCTTGGTGATATTCCAGTCACCTCCTGTTGTCATTTAAAATTTTAAAGGTCCCTACACATTGTTTATATTCGCTCTTACTGAAACCCTGGGTATATGTACCATATCTAAAATACAGTTAGAAACAGTAATATTTCATTATACAGCTTGTATTAGGAATCTAACACACACCTCCCTCAAAAGCATTTCGCGATTATGCAAGAAAATGAGGCAGATGGTCACGTGATCGCGTGACATCATGCCAGACACTCCCTACATCAACACACGGAAAATGCAGTGGTACCGCTTACTGACGTCTGCATCTATTTTGGCAAATAAATCAACCCACAAAGTCCAACCTGGATTTGGATGACATACCAGATACAGATAATATCACATGCCTACAACCTTTTCAATTTGAAAGTATTTGTAGCGGCAAAAACCGACAGGAATATTGACAACGAATTGTGGCACCTATTCTGACCAAGAATCTCTTTGGGATCATGGAAGCTGGACAAGGGAATCAAGCTTCATTTAGCTAAGACGTCACTTAGTTCAGGCTGGTATTACTGCACATTCAGAGAGGGGATTCCATGGTTTAAAGTATCCCAAGCAAACAATGATTGTTTGGAGAATGGACCAAAATGGATCAGGTGTTCAGACTCAGTATCTTGATTTGTTTTTAAACCTGACATAATTTCAAGACAAAAACCTTTAGCAGTTAACAAAGCTATTTGTTAAGATACAACAGTGAGTAATTTAATGAAAATTTAATATCTGAATCAATATTAGTACCTTATAAATATATGGGAAGAGAGACACAAAAAGATAGATTGTGCAGAGCAACAAACACTCTGTGAAGCAGTGTCCATGGCTGTTCAACCTCTATATTCCTGGACAGAGCACCTGTGTACTGATCCATCATCATGATGTTTCTTCCCTGCCTGGGTGTAAAAGATAACAGATCGGTGGGGTAGCCTAGTGGTTAAAGCGTTCGCTTGTCGCTCCGAAGACCCGGGTTTGATTCCCCACATGGGTACAATGTGTGAAGCCCATTTCTGGTGTCCCCCACCATGACATTGCTGGAATATTGCCAAAAGCGGGGTAAAACTGAACTCTCTAAGTCGCTCTGCAAGATAACAGTTATTTATTTAGAAGTCAGTGTAGAAAACTCTGAGACATGATTTCTTGAGTGGGTAGTGGCTGTTATATTTATCTCCCTTTGTGTTTTTGGTTTTTGCCACCAGGTGTCAGCCCACACTGCCTTGATGCTGGGACCGTGGAGAAGATTGAGATTGAGACAGTTGATGGCCAGAACTGGGAGAATTTCATGAAAACTTCTGATATCTCCAAGTATTCAAAGACATAGATAGCATCTTGAATTTCACCTTGTTTAATAGTATTATTTTCCATTTATCTGATCTTCTTCAAATTTTTAATTAATCTCAAGAGGCCAAGGTCAAACCATTGATCTAAGGGAGACAATTCCCAGCACAGAGTTGTTTCCCTTAGCTCTCAGAGTCTGCTTGTTTTAGCTTCATGACCAACTCATGGTATTCGTGCACATGTTCCCTTCTTATGCCCCATTTTTGCAGCTGCTTCCCATCTGAGAGCAGCCAGCCATAGTTAAATGAATTGTCAACTCACACCTAATGATTTATGTACATATGAATGGAGTGTTTTCATGTTCGATTTATTTTAATAAAATGTATATTATCAGACTTACGTTGCTAGACATCATTAATGAACACATATCTGGGTATATATCTTATGCAAGAAGGGCGGTGGGATAGCTTAGTGGTTAAAGCGTTCGCTCGTCTCGCCGATGACCCGGGTTCGATTCCCGGTTATGGTGAGTGGCTTGTGGTCCAGACTTGGCCATCACCATACTAATGGTGCAGCCTTAAACAATAAACAAACAAACAGGATCTATGTTGCAGCTAAAGACATCAGCAAGGATTTCACAAGATGCAATCAAATAGTATCTTGTCCTAAAAGTATGTCCCTCCAAATTTGACAGAGATACGTGGCTTCTTTTTTCCCTTCTTTTTGGAAATACTCAAGTTACTGTCAACCTGACACATAATCCTTCATGACATGTACATGCCTATGATGAACTTGGTCTCTTGAATTAAGAATGCATAAATATCAGATATTCAGGGACTGTATCAATTCACAGTTATAGCTATGGGAATTGGTTACTATAAAATGGCAATAATATTGAACAAGAGGTTCAAAAAATCACCTTCATCTAATATTCAAGATGGTGTACTCACTTCACTCATGTGTTTTTTAACAAATATACTGGTATATGTTTTCGAAATAAAAAAGGTACTGCCTCAATGGTTTTGGTATTTTACTGGAAAGTAGTAGTGGTGGTTCAACCCACTGGTAGGGCAGCAGGGTGGCCTAGTGGTTAAAGCGTTCACTTGTCACACCGAAGACCCGGGTTCGATTTCCCACATAGGTACAATGTGTGAAGTCCATTTCTAGAGTCCCCCTCCCTGATATTGCTGGAATATTGCTAAAAGCGGGATGAAACAATACTCTTACTCATTTGTAAAGTGCTAATGTAATGAGGTGGTAACCAAATGAACCAGACTATCCAATGATCAACAGCATGAGCATCGATCTACGATTAATGGGATCAGATGGTCAGACTCGCTGACTGGGTTGACACAGCTCATCATGTTCCATTTGCGTAGATCGATGTTTATGCTGTTGAATACTGGAATATCTGGTCCAGAATTGATTATTTACAGACCGCCGCCATATAGCTGGAATATCGCCGAGATTGCCGTCAAACAACCAACCAACCTTCTTAAGTGTCAGTCTTTGATTCCCTTTCTCCTGTGCTGTGACGTTTACATACCTAGCTCTCTGCTTCCTGGCTGTAATTCACCAAGGAGTAATAATATACAATATACTCCGAAACGTCGTACTCCTCTCACTGCAGGAGGAGACGCCCACAACTTCCCTCTCTTCATTCAAGTTGCCTAAGGTGACGGAGAAAGAGAGAATGAGTTCAGTTTTACGAAGCTTTTAGCAATATCACAGCGGGGGACAACTGAAATTGGCTTCACACATTGTACCCATGGGTGAATCTAACCCGAGCAGCTTTCGAAATTAACGTCGGTCCCTAGGCCCGAAGTGACTGAAAACCACTCTGACCCACAGCTTTTGTTTTCTGCGGGTCCTCATGGTCGACAGCTTTTGTTTATCCCAAATAACTATAAGAGTATTAATATTCAGCAGATATCATTTAGTAATATCTAGTATTTATCTCGATCAGCAGCTGTTGTCTGTAAGTGAAACGACCATCATTTTCGAGGAAAATGTCACATTTTTTGTTTGCTGGGAATTACTTATATACTCATAGAAACAAATAAGGGAACACATGAAAGTACAAGTGTTCCTATTTTTATTTCCAGAATTTCACTCACAGTGCAATACATACCTTGTGAAGAAACCTGGAAAAGAATAAAGGAACACTTGTACTTTCATGTGTTCTCTTATTCGTTTCAGTGAGTATATAGTGTAGCTAAAATCTAGGGCCTACACATTCTGATCAGGGCCGATAACCTTTAGTAGTTCTGGGTCCTTAGGGCCTGAAGCTTTTCAGGGTTAAGGACAAAAAAATGAACGCTGGTCTTCGGCGTCCCCACCACCCCGATGAAAGAGTTATCAACAAGGGCACCAAGTCTTGCCTCGGTCCAGTTCAGTCAAAAGCCGGATTCTGATGTAGCTATCTGTTCCATACATTTTGCAATCGCTCATCTGCCCAAACTCATTTCACGTGTGTTCACAAGATGCTGTAGATATGTTATGTTGGTGATATACTGCAAACAAAAAGTATGGGAACACCCTAAAATTTGATAGTGATATATTAACTTAAACGTGGAGAGGTCATTTATACTCTTAGGTAAATACAACTTTTTGTGTGGTTAATGGGCACTTTAAACGACATGTTGGAACATGCAGTGAAGCAACTGATTCAATATTCGTTGAGTTTGAGTGAAATGAAACATTGTCAAAAACAGCGAAACACAAGGGTGCTGAAACACACCAGTACCATGTTTGATTCAGATGCCCAAACACAACAGCCTAGTGCGTATGGAAGACAGCAGAACCATGCAGCTTGCGGCAACGGTTGAATTAGTGTTTAAATGACCTTACCACGTTTAAGTTTGTAAACCACTATCACATTTTAGGGTATTCCCATACATTTTGTTTGTAGTATATAACGAATCACTGAAAATGGTGTGAGTGAGTGACTTTATTTTTACGCCGCTTTTAACAATATTCCAGCTATATCACGGCGGGGGACACCAGAAATGGGCTTCACACATTGTACCCATGTAGGGAATTGAACCCGGGTCTTCGGCGGGACGAGTGAACGCTTTATCCACTAGGTGAGGTGAGGTGAGGTGAAATTGGGTTTATCGTCGTGCTTGGGAATATTTCGCTCATATGACGACGTGCATGCGTGTGTATGTGTATGTGCGGCTGCTTGTACTAGCCCAGATTTAAGCTGGTTTTATAGTGCTAGCCCACTGAGATACCATGCCTCAGTGAAGCATGAATACCCCACTCAGACACATTATACTGACTCCGAGCCGACCAGTCCTTGTTGTACCCATTAATGCCGAGCGCCAGGTAGGGACCAACAAGTACCATATTTTAACATCTTTTGGTATGACGCGGTCTGGGATCGAACCCGCGACCTTCCGCTCTCCGGGCGGACGCTCTAACCACTACACCACAGAGGCGGTCCCCTTTCAGCTGAACCTTGTCTTTGGGGATGGCGTCTCTCGAAAGAAGCAACTGAATAACACTGACTGAATTAATCTGACTAAACATCTTAGTCATTTTGTGTAACAACAATCAATATGGAAATGTTAGTCATTTCGCGAAATGACAGATTTCACTGTAACATGTACATGTAATCTATTTCATGTCTTGATTTAATGAGTGAGTGAGTGAGTGAGTTTAGTTTTACGCCGCACTCAGCAATATCCCATCTATATGGCGACGGTCTGTAAATAATCGAATCTGGACCAAACAATCCAGTGATCAACAGCATGAGCATCGATCTGCGCAATTAGGAACCGATGACATGTGTCAACCAAGTCAGCGAAACTGACCACCCGATCCCGTTAGTCGCCTCTTACGACAAGGGGGGCGGTGGGGTAGCCTAGTGGTTAAAGCGTTGGCTCGTCACGCCGAAGACCCGGGTTCGATTCCCCACATGGGCACAATGTGTTAAGCCCATTTCTGGTGTCCCCCCGCCGTGATATTGCTGGAATATTGCTAAAAGCGGTGTAAAACTAAAACTCAGTCAGTCAGTCAGTCTTACGACAAGCATAGTCGCCTTTTATGGCAAGCACATGGGTTGCTGAAGTCCTATTCTACCCCGGATCTACCCCGGTCTGATTTAATGAGAAAAGTCCACAAATATATAGCATTTTTAAAACGCCTCCAAACTAACGCTAATCTCTGAATGTGTATGACTTTAATAGAAACAGATACAATTTGAATTAACATAGAACCCTGGGAGATGAGAGTTTTAGAACCCGAAGAAGCCTCGACTTGCTTCATTGCTGAAAGGGCTGTGCGGAAGGGAAAATGGTGTGTTTGAGGGAATTGTGAGACAATCTACTCTGGCGCATTCCATCAGCACGTCCGTGATGTGACAAAGAAAGATTTCGTTATTTTTAATTCTAAGATCCTTATGTGAAAGATCAAAGGCGCCGACAGTACTTTCTCAGACGATAATGTGCACTTTTTGCATTACGTCACAATGTAATTGCGTCACTGCGCCATTCTAGTCTGCCCCCTCGTAATCGAACACTTTTGCATTACGTCACAATGTAAGCGACGTCACCATGCATGTCAGTTGTCATCGCCTCCTACAGCCTCCTACAGTAAACTACTCCGTTGCATCCCGTTTCTTGGTTTGCAGTTGCTTCACGCAGCTAACATCACTAGTGGAAACATTACGTTTATGTTTTACGACGGTTAAAATGTGTCAATTCGATTCACAAGTTTTCAGCGACACGGTAAACGTTCGCAATGTTTACATTCCCACAATGCAATCGTGGAATGTCGCTTGACTACTCAGCTTCATCTGGATGTACTGATCTAAACTTACGTTGGTAGTAGAAATGCGACGTTCATATTGCCCCATATGGTTTACGTTAATCACAGATGTAATTAAAATAATTCAGAGAAGATATTTAATCCGATCGTAAACCGTCATCAAACTGTTTATCATTTGTTTTGTTTTTTCTGATAACGTTCGTCTTGACGTAGGGGGGCAGCCGTAATTATTCTTAGAAAGTATTAAATTTGGCATCTTAGAAAAGAAATACAGTTCGCTCTACCACCATGTATAGTGTAATAAAGCACACTTTCGCCCTGAACGCTGCGTCCGAGTGCTTTTAACGTTATAATAGTTCAGGGCGAAAGTATGCTTTATTACACTATACATGGTGGTAGAGCGAACTATATTATAGGATGTCATGCGATATCACGCATAAAGATGATTGTACACTGTCTTCATTTTTATACAACACTACCTTAGCGTTGAATGTTCAGACACCCTATTGATAAACTGCCCTTATGCACCAAGCCACAATGAATTATGGCAGCATGCCCACACACAGCGTTCTGGGGCGGTGGGGTAGCCAAGTGGTCAAAGCGTGCGCTCGTCACGCTGAAGACCCGGGTTCGATTCCCCACATGGGCACAATGTGTGAAGCCCATCTCTGGTGTCCCCCGCCGTGATATTGGTGAAATATTGCAAAAAAAGTGGCGTAAAACTAAACTCACTTACTCACTCACTCATATAGCGTTGTGATGACTCCCGTGAAGATCCGGGTTAGAATTGATCTTCAGCAAACCATGCTTGTTGTAAGAGGCGACTAAAGGGATCAGGTGGTCAGGCTCGCTGACTTGGTTGACACATGTTATCGTATCCCACTTGCGTAGAATGATGCTCATGCTCTTGATCACTGGATTGTCTGGTGTAGATTATTATTTATATACCGCCGCCATATAGCGGGAATATAGCTGAGTGTGGGATGCGGGTGCCAAATGACTGAGATAATGATAAATTGCACGACTTACGCAGATACAGGGTGAAGCCAGTGTACAGTGTAAACATTCAAAGCTATTTTAGATCAATTATTGAAAGTCACTTAGTAGATAGATCATATCTCACTGTTGCTTCGTTCTGCTGATTAGCAATACTACCAGGAGAAAGTGCTTGGTTTAATGGGCTGTTGAAATAACTTTTTAAGAAGTTACTTTTTGCGATAAAGGAAATGAAATAAATGATAATA